AACAATTTGTGATTGCAATTTCACTATTTGTATTTGCAATGAAGCCTTGCTACAAAAGTAGTTACCTTCATGACACGATTGAGGGTCTAAGTTGAATTGATAGTTTTATATTTATGGATATTAATAATAAGCCAAAGCACCTTTGTCTAAGGCAGATAATCAGATGAGTTGTGTGATGCCCTGCTGTGTTTTAAAGGTTCATTTGAGCTGTCATGAATATCTCATGAAGAGTATTAATAAATACCCTTCCAATCATACTTAACCGTGCCTGTTTGTTAATGGAATTACAGATGAAAGCACTGCAATGAAGTTAAATCATGTGCTTAATGTTCCCAAAAAACATCATTTTAATTTACACTTCTAAGACATTTCAGTTGTTTAGTTGTAGATTATTTATCATTGATCTTCTTCTTTAATCAACTGTCTTTCCTTTCCAGATTTTATAGAGGGAAATGTTTGGAGTTTTTCCTCTGATCTTTTTAAAGCTGCACTAAACAGAAATATCATGTCAGAAGCTCCATCAATTTAACCCCTTTACCCCAGGTATTAAGTCAGAAACAGCTAAATCCAAAACACATAACCTGAGACCTTGGAGAAGCTTTTTAAATACGACACAAAAAGCCTGTTGACAGTTGAAGTGACAGAAATTAAGATCTGCAAAAGTTATATTGTGTTTCTGAAGGTGCAGAACTGTTCAACCTTTGGAAAAGCCACAGGCTTTAGTTCACTATCAGATGACGAGTTGATTTACAGGTTAAGGATATTTGATGTAAAGGATGTCAGATTTGGTTTTAAGAAACATCCGACAACCAAAATACAGGCTACAAAGTCCAAAACATTATAGCCATTAATTTGGTTATCAACACGAATTATAGAAATGGAGACAATTAACTGATTGTGACCATTAAACCCTCCTTCGTACATTCTGTTCCTATTGTGTCTGCCTGGTTTTCTGTAGGAAAGCAAAGACACTTTCTTGCCTCATCATCAGCATCATCAGTCTCTGCTTCTTCTCTGTTCAGGGAGCGCATCCTTAGCATTTGGCCACCAATGGATGACAACAATGATGCTTTTTTTCTAAATATTTTTGTAATATTTACACCCAGTCTAAGAACAATGTTTTCATCCCTGAATACCACACTGCAGCTTGCTGTACACGTTCAGCGTGTGTCCGTGTGGACGTGTACACCCTCTTGCTCCTGGCTTTCTTTCTTGTTAGCCTCTGAACAGTGACTGAACATCTGGCACGGTGCATAGCTGGCGATTAATGAGTGTTTCCAGTGAGCACAGGAGCAGCGTGACCAGCCTCTGCCATAATTACAGGGAACTGCTCTGATATGAAAGCGTAATTAGTGGGGGTGCAGAGGTACCCTCTATTAAGTGCTGAATAGTCGTGTTTCTCTGCGATGTGGCTGTCAGATCCGTGTTATACAGGCTGTGCGGTGTCAGTTTGAAGGGTGGGCGGTTACAGTATTGTTTAAAGCAGCACATCCAAACCTTTGGGGCTCGTGACCCCTTAAAGCTGGAAAACTGCCTGTATCAAAAAACTTCTCTGAACGTGGCCGCCCCTCAACCATGATTGCATTACTTGCCATACAAGGCAGATAATGGGGAAATTATCAGCCCCAAAAAATGAAGATGAAATGCACTGTATCCAATGACGACAGCTATTGACGGGTAAAGAAAAGGCTCCTGAGAACATGAACCCTAGTTTCAGGAGCTAATGACATTTTTTCCTCTCAAAAATTGCTGCCTTATAAGATTTATTTGACTAATATATTGTTAAGTGAAGGCAAACCGGACATTATCCACATATCAATCACATGTAGAAATCCGAGAAGTCCTCTGTGCCTCCTCCTGCCTTCCCTAATTCAAAATAATCCCTAATCAACAGCCTCCTGAAAATGTGTCTCTGAGTGGACTGCTCTGAAATTGAATGTGCTTTTGAAAAGTCTTGCCAGGATTCTGCAGCATGACGGAGCAAGGTGTTGAAAGCCACCTTTCAGAACTGAGTCTGAGTTTCTCTCAGACCAACAAATGTCCTCACAGTCAAACTACTGTAACAGCGATGTAGAGCCACAGAGGCCAAAGGGGAATGACTCATTCAACAGGAATGTTTTCAGCTTGGCTCACTGCAGCTTGGCGTACCTCTCCTCCCTCATGCTGCAACAAAACAAGACTTTCACGATTTCAGGCATTTATGTGTTGACAAACCCCCGGGATTCAAACCTTCTTGTCCGCCACTCAGCTGAGAACTGCCAGTCATTGACTCTTTTAAGCTTTACAGCCTTCTTGGGACAGTTTGTTAAAGGGAATCTACTGTATTACCACTCTTTGTCAATTACAAGATCGTCAGCTCAACTGGCACTAGCGTTTAACAGCACCTCAGGGTGGCTTCGGACCTCAATAGGCTGTAGGTTACAATACCAGAGGCTTCTTTTCAAAACGCCCCATTTCATTTGTGAATAAGTTCCCAGAAAGCAAAGCATTTACTTTCAGTATACAACATTGATCATATCTGGTGTGAAACGTCTCACAGGAAAATGTAATTCCTATTCAAGACAGAATCAGGTACCCTTTGTATGTAACTTCACAACTTCAACAAAGGATCTTAAGAACCGAAGTTAGCCGTGAACTGATTACCCAACTGTGGATAACTCCCTCCCACATACTGGATAGGAGCATGTGCTTGTATGTGTGTGTGTGTGTGTGTGTGTGTATGTGTGTGTGTGTGTTGGCGTGACACCTCCTACGTGATTTGTATCCTCTGACAGTGCCTCATTTCTGTGGGCCATCACGGTATTCTGGGAATCAAATGTGTGGGCTTCTAACGATTGTCTTCACCGGAGTCCCACATACACAAGTGTCATAAAAAAAATTTCTTCTTCTGCATTAAGGATTTTTCTGTGTATGCATATGCATATACGGCAAAACCCTCACCACAAGCACACCCTGGATTGGTGTCATATTTGGGATTAACTCTGTGTAGAGGGTTAGTCTTTAAGGGAACATTTGCAGCTATTGAAAATACACCAACTTGTGCATTTGAGATAAAGATATAAATGTACATGCTCAACAACAGCCATAAAATGTGACAACCAATACTGTCGACTGTGAATATAATAATATCTCTTTGGTCGCAAACATGATGATTACGTTGTCTCTTTGGTTCATTTTTGTTACGAAAGTTTGTGGTAGTTTTGTGCCTTGATTTTAAAAAAGCCTGATAAAAATCTTTGCTTCTTAGACAAATGAATGAAAGAATATGGCCTTAATTACAGATATTCAGCGTAAATTTCAGGGTATTTTTTTCCAGTTTGATGGAAGGTTTCAGCAGTTCTCAAATATCAAAACCCACTTGTGTGAAGAAGGTTTTTCTTGTGTAAAAGTTAGAATAAGAAGATGGACACGTGAGTGCTGTTTTTATTATTCATCTCAGTGTCACGTTTGGCAGCTGTATTGCAGACCAAACTAAAGGCAGAAAAAGCCCAATTAAGACCAGCAGAAGGCGGCTGTGATGAAGGTTACATAATATATCTTTATATAAAAGATCTGCAGCACCTAAAGCGTTTGAATCCACTCTGGATATAAAGATCAGAGAATAAAAATCTTAACTTGAAGACAAGTTTAATTACATAACTTTGTTTTCATGAAAATCATTCCCCGGAGATCATTTTGTTAGGAAACACTTAATGAAAATGCAATTCCACCTTAATATAATCAAAGCATCACTATTAAAGAAATTAATCTTCCTAAATGTTTTTTTAACTCTGATATAAAATCTGCTTACTTCTTTACCACTGACTTCCATATTAACTGGAACTTTTAGCAGTTTTACATTGTGACCCTTTTTCAGAAAGAGACAATAACAAGGAACACAATATGTCCAACCTCATCTCTTCCATTTAATTTCAAAGAAAGCTATCTGTGTTACAGATGCAGCGACAATTTTTCTATGAAACAAGTGTTTTCCACCTCATCTCCAAGCACTACAGCACACTTCACCTTCGCCTAGCCTCTTGAGAGCTTTATCCTCCCTCCTCCACATTCTTTTTATTAAACTGCAAACCACTGATCTCACAGCAAAAGGATGCCGATACTTCCAACTCTATCCTCCAAATGAGCACAAACGAGTGAGTAGGATGCAGAGCATAGTGAAGAAAAATGAAGAGGGTGGCTTGCAGAGGGAGTTAGCAAACAGCTGAGGGATAAAAGAAGGGGGGGGGGGGGCAGGTGGGGAAAGAGGGTATGAATTTATTAGTGGCAGAAGAGCCAGTGGAGAAGGACATCCGAATTTTAATGATCAGACCGCTGGGGAGAAATCTGCAGCTATGTTGCTGCTGTGTGTGGGACTGCTGCTAACATCAGACCCAGAAACATCAAATCCTCACACACATCCGTTTATGACACACACCCACAGACTTGGGATGAATGGCAATGGGGGGTTTGCCAGGGTGGCACCAAATCAGTAGGCCTAAGTCCGATGCCTGAGCATCAAAGTTCATACTTGGCCATCTCTTCAAAAGACCCCTCCTTTATTTGCCCTTTGTGTAGTGAAAAGTAGACACTAAATGAGACTGTGGTAGAGCAGCCGTCTGATAGGATGTTGCACTATATGAGTATGACCTGTCAAGATCCTTATCTATAACTTCTATATAACTTTATAATTTTCATTTCTCCTTCAAATGCTGTCGTGTCTTCAGTCATTTGTAGTCTAATTCTTCAGAGACTTCAATGTGAAACATTAGTATTATCTAAAAGAGAAAATACTGCTGCTTAGCACAAAGAATAAACTGTCAATTTAAAAGATGCTAGCACCTCACCAACAATTATTTCAGACTTTGCATGCACACATCATGATGATAGGTTCTTTTCTTTCCTGAGGTCAATGGTCACTGTCTTCCGCACAGTGAAGCGGCCCAGGGGGCTTGAGCCATTCCCCTGGAAGAATCCAACAGACAAAATGCTTCAAAGATTTTATTTTTTCTGTAAGAAAGAGGCTAAATACAAAAAGCATATCAACCATATCACAAACGTTTTTAATACTTAAACAAATGTGTAATTATTCTCTGATTCTTTATGCTCCCATATAAACAAAAACCTCTATTGCCTGCTTAGGTGAGCTGCAGCCCAACAGTTAAGATGATATTTTACAATTTGGTTAAACTATTAAACCAATGATTTATTTTTCCCAATGTCATTCTGAAGGAAATGTAAGGAAAAGCTATATTTTCCTCCACAACTGACACATTTCTAAGTTTGTGTACAGATTTTGTGTGTATTGATTGAAAGTAGATCAGTTTAGATGTGCATAATAGTCCAGAAGAGGCTTACTGTATCTGTGCTTTTGCTGGTTAGCCTTTGCAACAGAAACTAGATATTTTCTGGTGGTCTGACATCTGATCTGGTGTTTTCGGGGCCAAAGGAGAAGTGCAACTGTCTACCCCTAAAAACCAAAGCACGAGCTGTTGCTTGATGAATGTCTGCCACTGGGTGATGTTACCCTTGCACCATCCTCTCGGATGATTAGGAGATGAGACACTAAGAGGTCGCATGAGGCCTTGCCTTCACAAGTACGCACTCCATCTCACTCTGTCTATCAGTATTTATCAACTTATTCCCAAACCCTGGCATTAATGCACGGTGACACACATTGCACTTGTGTGGTGCAGCCACAACAGTCCAGTCAACAGTCTCTGGGGGCTGCCGTTTGGCTGGAGGACAGCGAGCGGATGAGTTTGCCCGGCCAGCCGCGCTGCCCTCTCTCCCCCAAGCTGCTGACCTGCAGAGTTTGATCGAGGGGTTTATCCTGTCAATCTAATTTTTTTTATTTGGTGGTCTGTATTTTTATATCATTTTCTCGTCTTTGTGCCCTTCCTCTTTGGTTTGCTCTCATGGTCCCTGAGATGAGGCCAAATAACAAATATTTAATCTGAATGCAGAGAACACTGCTCGTTTTGAAGCTCAGTTCATCCTGCAGTGTGACTATGGTTTGTAAAGGGAACAATATTTAGAAGAGGCTGTTCCTCTGCAGTTGTGAGCCCACCTTCTTGAAGAGAGCTTTTAATTTGCATAATTTGCAGTGCTTCATCTTCAGCATCCTTTCTTTTCTACCATCATTCTCTTCCTCATTTCCACCCTGGCCCTCAAGGCCCAGCCATGGACTCCACACCCCACTATAGAGTCCTGGGTCAGCCATGGGATCGTCCGGTGGGTTCCTGGGCATGACGGCCGTCTGGTTGTACTCTGCCAGCCTAATCATCAGATGCTTCACCACCTCTGGCCGGGCCTCTGCAAGGTCTGACCTTTCATACGGGTCAGCGCTGACATTAAACAGCCAAACCGACTTCCCCGGCTCACCGCGCCGCTTTTCAAGTTTCTGCCACCTCTCCGGACCATCGGGGTGAGCCTGTGGCGGTATCCAGTCCCCGTCGCCCACATTTCCGGTCAATAGCTTCCAGTCACCGACCCGTAGTGCGGCTCTCACCGCTGTGTCCCAGATCCCAAACCCATTGAGCATCATCGCTTTCTCGTATGGGTCTCCAGGTTTCCTGGACACGGGATCGATGTTGAAAAGGATTTCAGTGCGAGGGCAGGGTAGACTCTCACTGATGGCACCCCAAACATCATGACCATCGAGGCCATCGTGGGAATGTTGGACCCCAGCAAGCCCCAGCAGAGTGGGATACCAGTCAGAGACATGGATGAGTGCCCTACTCACAACTCCCTTCCTCTTCAGCAGGGGACTATGGACAAAGCCTACGGCCCGGACACCCCCCTCCCAATAGGTCCCTTTTCCTCCCCTCAGAGGCCAGTTGCTCCCCCCCGACAGTGGCTGTCCACCATTATCAGATGAGTAGATCAACACCGAGCTTTGGTAGAGCCCACTGGTCTTCAGTTCCTTGACAACTTGCTCGACACCAGCATCAAGGCAGCTGAGCATGGCTGCGTAGTGGCGTCTCTGACGATTGTTCTGGGAATTGTAGCGTTGCAGAAACTGGTCTGGTACCTGCAAGGGTGTGTGCGCAGCCTGAAGGGACAGATAGAGGAAGAGTGGTGTTTGTGGGTCATGGCTCCTCAGGATCTGCTTCACTCTGGTTTGAGAAAAAGAAGATTGTAAAATTTTACGGAAACTGAAGTTTTCACTCTGAGTGCAAAAAAAATGTGTTTGCTGTCACCTCTCTATGTAGAGCAGAGTGGAGTAGTTCCCACTCATTTCCCAGGCAGGTCTGTTCCCGTCATGCAGGTCAAATCCACAAGCTTCAGCCCCATCGCAGCTTCGATAGGAAAAGTGGTCTCCGCTGCCGGTGAGCGTTCCCAGGAAACTCTGAAAGCCGCGTCCTGTTGGCAAGCAGCTTGGCCTGCAGAATCCTAAATGCCATTTCCCCACCATGTGTGTCGCATATCCAGCAGCCGCCAGACGCTCAGGCAGGGTGGGAATGTCCGGGGGCAGGCAGAGGGGCTGACGTGGTCGTATGATCGAATGCTGGAGTCCAGTGTGAATTTGGTACCTGGCACCATATGGAGATAATAAATGTTATAATATATACATTACAATAAAAAACTGACTGATGATTAAAGATGAAAAAGCATTCATGATTTGCTTGACTAGATGTTCTCCTTTAGTAAATCCAAATCTTTTACTGTAATGTTATGATGGAGCTTTTTTTTATTTAAGAAAACACTAAAATGGGCTCATTTGATTTATTCTTGTTTTAGTATTCATCAATAAAATAACAGTTCACTACAATACATTATGGTACAATATGTTGGTAATGGCTCAGTGGACATAATCTCAACAGTTATGAATATTAAATAGAAGAAGAAAAATAAAAATGCTAATTAGGACACTCAGAGGTCAATGGCATACCCATGTTCACCCCGTTTTTGCTTTGTTAAATGTGTTCCATATTGAAAAAAATTGTCACATCATTTGGATTATTATTTTTTTGGGCATTCTGTATTCTCTTAAATTTGTAACAAATAAACCACCACACAAAAAGTGACTGATGCATCAAAGATACTCACCGTCCTGTCATGAGCTGACTTCGAGAGGGCGAGCAGATAGGTTGGACGTAATAATTTTCAAGTTTGACCCCCTCCGCCGCGAGATGGTCCAGCGCAGGCGTGTGGATGTCTGAGCCGTGGTAGCCGATGTCGCCGTAACCCTGGTCATCCACCATGACAAAGATGAGGTGAGGCGACCGGGGCCTTCCTGTCTCTGCGTTTCCACTGCCACCCATGGCCAAGCAGCCCGGACCACAGAGGAAGATCACATCAATCACCAGAAGAAGCACAAAGCAGATTCCTCCCCTCACGCTCAGCATCGTTCAGCAGTTTGATGCTGCTGAAGTATGATTTTCTCAGGTTTTTCACCTTTGCAGATAAGAAATCAACTAACAATTTTTGCTCAGAAGAAGTTAGGTGTCTTCTCTGAGACATCAGCTGCTGAGGTATGTGGAGGAAAACTGCTCTCAAACAGTGGAAAAACAGTTGGTAAAGGGGAGTGTTTCAGAGAGGCATGGAGACTTTTTTCTGCAGTACTTTGCTACATTCCTGTGTACTGTCAGGCGCCTGAAAAGGTGGCTGGGAAACTAAAATATTTACCAAAGCCATTTACTGTACAGTATGCAAGGCAGACAGTAGGTACAGACATTATGAGCAGTTCACATTTCAGCCGTTCTTCTGCAAATTACATAAAAGAAACCGGAAAAGAAAAACAAAACATCTGGTTATTCAATTCCGTTTTATTTATATAGCACAAATTCACTGAATTCCAATTCATTGTTACATAATTCAAATCCAATCAATTCCAATTAATTAAATAAATAAAAAATCAAATTCATTCAAAGATGAGTCGTGTCATGCAAATGTTTGGGAAAGCTGCTTAAAATTTGTTTTTCAACTTTATAAATAGCAATAGGATGGTTTTTAAAATCCTAAAAGTAATTCAGTAAGTAATACGCTCTTTGTAATCAATGCTGGGAAAAGTGACAAATTATCAAATTGTTGAGTATCTTTTTAATCTTTCGACACAAAACGTAGACAAAATATAATTATTCCTTTCATTGTTCTCGTGTTTCTTCGTACTCAAGTCGTAGAGTCAACCAGTGATGTTTCCATCCTGTGCATGGGAACTGAAAAGTATCCAGCTTTGTGGTGAGAACATGTACCAAAGGCTTCACCTCACTACCATCTCCCTCCTATAATGCTGCAAGGAAATCAATGCCTGAGCTACTAGTTCATTTCCTACATCGAAGAAGGAGGCTCTCATTTCCTTGACCTGTGGGAGAATTCACAGGCTTTTTTTCCCCAAAGTGAGATGAAAGTGGTAAGGCTGATGTGAGGTAAGAATGAGAATCGGTGCTGAATGTCAACATATAAAAGAAACACACACACACACAGCTTTAACAAAAGAGAAGGGGGAGAACACAGGAGGTGGCAGAAATAGAGAAAAAATTGATAATCAATAAGAAAGATTTACTGTCTAAGTCGCCTAAGATAAACGAAGTGGCATAAAAGGAGCAGTCACTTTGTGTTGCTGTGCGTTGGCATCGGGGTCTGTGGGTGTAGCCGTCAGTGCGCCTCAGGAAAATGAAGAGTGGCGTGAACTCTGTTTTACCGTTCGGAGGGAGGAGGACAGGAGTGTGGGGTGGCAAAAATGGAAAGTGACAAATTACTTCTGGAAGAAGACAGAAGGGAGGAATGTTGTGCTTTCCTCAACAGCATGAGGGGGCACAAAGATACAGGCAAAAACCTGCATTTGTAAGGCCCAGAATGATGAAAGCTTAATGCCAAACATATATAAAGCATTAAAAAGTCATCATAAGACTACTTAGTTTTCAAATGGACCTTTTTCCCCCCTTCTATTTGTAAAGCAATGCACCACACTCTGTTTTTAACAATAATTCCCCAAAAATAGTCTTTCAGCTTAAGCAGAGGGAATTTGATGTCTGTGTAAAAAAGAGAATCCCTTCTGAATGCTTTTTCAGTGTGTGTTTGTTTGTGTATTTTGGAAATGGAAGTGCTGCAGAGTAGAAGGGAGTAGCAGTGGGTGTGATTTATTCATGATGACGACGAAGAAGTGACTCACTCAGCCAGAAGACGTCATGCAAGGTTGCAGCTTGGATGTGTATGTGTCTGTGTCTCTGTCTGTGCCCTGAAAATACTTTGCAAGCCATCACCATGGAACAGTAAGAGCCCTTTTCTTATTCTGTTTGGCCTATAAGCCTTACAGTACAAAAAAATACTAAATGTATTCATTACACTGCACAGTAGGCAGGTATCAGTGTGACCTGCACAACACTTAGAGATTGTCTAATGCTAATTGCAGGACAGGCTATTTATATTAAACTAGGCATTTTAATCAACACGTTTGACCTATAAAAAAAAAACTCTAACACTGTGCAACATGACAGAAAAAAAGTTACCATGATATTACACAGAAAATAGATTGTGGTCATCCACCTGAAAGCACTTTTAATTAAACAAAACAAAAGCAGTGTGGTGTATTCTTCCTTTATCAATACAAAAACCCCACCATATTCTGTCCCCCAAATGATTTCAGAACAGAAAAACATTAGACCGCAGTGAACTATAAACATTTCACTGAGGATTCAACAAACTGCGTGTACATTTAGATACAAAAACAAAAACTCGGGAGCAGCAACACAAGCATCTTTTTTAACTTATCGCACAAATCTGGCGATCCTACACAGCATGGGATAAAGATTTACTGGTTAATCCTGATCTTCTGTTTTAGCTGGTGCTACAGTCATCCAGTGATTAAAGCTAATCACCATGCTGTCTTAAGACACATACCTGGGAAGAGGAAGCTTGCTTTTACTGATCATAAATTAAATGTTTTTAAGAAACTTTGGTGTGACAACACCGCCAGTGGAGAGTGCCATCATGAGGATCAAAGGAGTAATGCATGCAAAGTCAAACCCTCTAAAATAAAAATGTATATGAAAACAAAGCAGGTGAAACCATGCCAGTCAAATTACTTTTTAAGGATGTATAGAATCCTGATGGGATAACTGATTTATTTTTTTCCAGAATCTAACTCCACAGAGTTGAGGCATCTGCATATTCTTTTGGAAAAAAACATGCCAAAAGAAGATGAGTCTTATGTCTAATCAAGACGTTATTTGCTCACCACTGACAATATGTTCTTTTGTCTTTTTTATTTGATGTTTTATTGAAAGGATTCCAGTTAAATTTGTATATTTTATGATCTTGTTAAACCATCAATATTACAAAAAGCTATGGTGGTAATGAGGCCAGCAGGTCTAGGAAATCTGGTCTTTTAGACAGAGTGAAGCACAAAGTGGTGGAGGATCATGTTATGAGCAGCACTGCTACTAGTTAAAAGGCCCAACATAGTCTTTGACCAGCCAGAACGTGGTTAGAAAGGGCTGTAACTTTTTCTTTTTTTTCCCATACAGATGGTCCTGACCACTGTTTTTGTGTGACTTTAGAGGTGTGTGCGTCTGCGACTCACTGGTGGGAGCACAGAGGGGCCACCTGGCACAACAACGCATCATGCTGCAGATGATAGGAGCCAGAGGGGATCTTGGGAAGGATGCAGATTGTCACAAACTTGGGTCAGGAGTTCAGTTCATGGGAAGGAGGCAGCTGGAGGCACAGAATGAAAGTCAGTCATCATTAAGGAAAATTCAAGTGGTTCCAATTAAAGCCCTTGTATATTACAACAAAATGTAATGGTGACGGTGTGACAGAGCAAGCACAGCCACGAGTTGGGAAGGAGATGCAATCAGCTACTGTAGGAAGACTTTAAAGATGGGGCATTTTGAGGGTGTTACTATTTTCTCTCTCAGTACAGTCGAAAGTTCTGTAGAATTGTACAATCCAAAGGTAACCTCAGAACTGACTCAGAATTTTATTCTCCATCAGAAAATATTCCTTCTGAAGTGGTTGAAACACTACCTTGAAATCCTATTTTTTTATTTCCTGACTTAACTTGCATAAAGCAGTCAGTTTTACAAATCCCAAACAAAGAGAAGCCAGCCAAACACCAACTTTTTATTTGAATGTTTAAAAAAAAAAGCAGGTTTTGGAAGAAATGTATCCAGTACTATCTTGCTAAAAAGGGGTCACTTTTCTTCTATTTCAATCCAATTAATGTTCCTCCAAATCATGTCTCTGTGATGTACTGGCAGCCAGTCCAGGGTGTACTCTGCCTATTGCCCAATGATAGCCGATAATGGGAAAAGCTCCAGCCCGGGTGTGACCCTACCAGGATCACAGAACTACAGCCTCTTGGAATCATCATTGCTTCTGTTCTAACACATGTCTTTGCTCCAGGAAAAGTCAGCCCTGTGGCGGAGACGGTCAGTATTTATTTATTTGTTTTTAGATTTCCACTTTCTTGAACAAACCTGTTACAACTTTCCTGTACCTCTGCTCCTCAACTTGTAAAGAAACACTGTAGTAGATCATAGCATGTCGACTTTTTCTGAGACAAAGAGGTTGGTAAAGGTGTGATTCTCTTCAGAAAATGAGTTGCCCTCAATTTTGCCAGCAGCAGCATCCTGTGTGAAAATCCACTTGTAGGCCCTGTTCTGTTTTCACTGGTGTCATTGTGTGACTTCCAGACTTTGTAACTTACAAATGTAGCTAAAATTTGGATTACAATTTTTCTCTGTTCCCAAATTCTTGTAAATCATTCACGGCATAACCAGAGTAAAAGTCTTTGCTGATTATATCAACAAATCAAGTCACCATTCCTCATAATTGATTGGGGTTTGGATAGTTCTGTGATTGGAGCTATATTAAAGTAAGCTGCCTCGTAGAGGGGACAAGGGAAAAATTCCTTTGCTCAGAGATGTCTCCACCGACAGAGCAACAGCTCCCTCTGCGGTTTTTATGGTGAAGTGGAGACTCTAATAACAGCCAGCGTTCTCTCACAGTGCCACTCTGCTTAGATTTCTACAACAGCTGGGGTTGGGTCTGTCATGTGTTGTATGAATACAAGCATCATTATGATATGTTAGGAGCCCTTTTTAAGGTGAGTTGCCATAGCATCACCACCAAGGATCTTTAATTAAAGGGCTTTAAGGACAGAACAACAGCTCTTTTCCAGCAGAAATGAAGACATGTTTTACTGTTTTTGTTGAGGCAGCCTGCATTGATTGAATATTTATGTTTACGTCATGTCATAGTTTGATATTATTGTGATCACACCATAATAAATAGAGAATAACACATTTAAAATACTGGGCATGTCAAAGTGGTTCAATTTAAAATAGCATACCATATATGGAGGCAATTTAATGATGTCTTCTTTCAAGCAAAAGTAAAACTGTAATGTGAAAGTGAGACATTTCTGGGCGGCACGGTGGTGTGGTGGTTAGCACTGTCGCCTCCCAGCAAGAGGGTTCTGGGTTCGAAACCCGGGGGAACCAGGA